CCCCCCATGGATCCGCCCTTGTAATCAACTGAACGAAAGAAAGTGCACAAGGGCGTCGCCATAATTTAAACGCCCTGTTAGTAACTCTTTTTCATACTGGACTGAGTTGCCTGTTGCTCAGGGTTAGCGCTAGCATTTTGTGCAGAATATTCAAGTGTTCCAGTCAAGGTCCGTGGAATTTCGAGGTCTTCATATTTTTGAAGTTGTGCATTCTTTATATTAGATTTGGTATTTTTGAATATTTAGACACTGATTCGAGGCTAACCCTGAGTAAATGAGTCTGTAATCAAGGAACACAGAGGTAATTTGGAACTCGAGACAAGTCGAGCAAAAGTCTGAGTGTTATATATACGTTTTACAGTCACTATGTCTTACCTTATTTTCTTCCTTTGATAGGTTCTGCACTTTCCTTGCCATTTCCAGACCATCAGTAGCTATATCCAATGCTGCCTGAATCGAAGCACTTATGTTCTGGGAATATTCTATAGCATAATTACTTGTCTCATTAGCTTGTTTAGACTTCTCAAGCGCGTGCTGCGCTAAATACTTCGATTCATTTGCTTTTGTCTCGAAATCATTCAAGATCTGCAACATCTCTTTCATGTCTTCGTGGGTCTTATTAGATAAGTCAACTGCTGCTTGCGCTTCTGCCTCGGCTCTACGGGCTTCGGCAAGCATTGCTGTTGCTCCTCCATCCATGGAAGTCACCCTAGATATAAGCACCTTGGTATCTCGAACAGCTTTTTCTACATTTGATATTAAGGTAGAATGATTCTGGTAAAGTTCTTTGACGACTTGTACCGCTTGGGTTGCATTATCGACGAGTTTTGTGGCATTATTTAGGATCTGCTGTACAGCAAGGCTGTTGTCCGGTTTCAGCGAATTAACATCCCTTAAAGCACGCTGTGCATTGGAGAGAACCACTGACGTGTTAGCGAACACCGCATACGCGCTATCATTCACCCTCACACCAAGTTCCTTAACAGCTTCTGTTTCTAACTTAAGTCTTCTTATCAGTTCTATATTAACTTGATGATCAGATGCTGTTGCTATGGAGATGCTATCAGCGTCTCTCACCAGTCCCTCAGCGGTCAGAGTTTTCCGTAAGATGTCTTGCCCAGTCTCATTCTGCTTGGCTGAGATTGTTGAGGCTTCATTAGCATACGTACCAAACCTGGGAACTAGTCCCGCAAGATATCCTTCTGTATCTTTCGTTTGGTTAGTAATCATAGAAATGCTAGAGCTCAGAAGCCTGTAAGCTTGTATGACCAAAGTCTGTGTCACCTTCATCAATTCCTCAGTCGTGTTCCTTTCCTTAGAAGCCTTGGTAGCCACGCCTTCTACTGACGTCACCCCTGACGTCACTTCCCCTTTCAGTACACTCTCCATGTAGTCCAAGCTTTTATTTAGATTGACAAGCTCGTCGTGTAGTTCTTTCTCGACGCCTGTAGAGTTCTGGGCTTTTAGGACCAGTTGTCGGACATTGTTCTTTGAAGTCTCGAGCCTCTTGGCAAACGTTTCGTCACCAATCCGTCCATTCCTCACGCGGTTCGTAGAATTCACAAGACCAGTGATGTTTGTCCTCAAGTCGTGCACAAATACTTGCAACAGCCGGTAGCATTCTGGACAATCTGTGTGAACAACAAATAAATTAAAAGGTCAATTGATTGATATTAGTCAGCTGAATGAATCTCAATACCAGCCTTCAATGAGGGGCAATTAATCCCCTCCTCAGCCCCCACCACGTGCGCAATCATCCACGTACATTTTCATAGTGAGATACTGATGCTTTTCAGGCAAGTACATTTGATGATGTCATCACAAGAGAATGGAATTAAGATACCCCATGAAAGAGTATATAGTGCATAGTCAAGTTGTTTGGGTAATCTAGTTATTCGATTTACTGTCTGTCTGTCTATCTGCTTTGTCTGTCTGTACGTCTGAGTGACAGACAGAGTAATTGACTACTGATTGACGGTATGAAAGTGTCTGTCCGTCCATCCGTCTGCCTGTCTGTCTGTCCGTCTGACAAACTAACTCATAAGGACTGAGTTTTTGATTCCCCTACTGAATGAGTGGACTGGATCACCAAATGATAAATTGACCGACTGACTGACCAACTGAGTGAATTACTGACCAAGCCCTTATTCATGTTTATAATCATGACTCACCTATGCAATGTCCCTTACTGTCATTGTAGGCATTTTCGTGGCATCGGTCGCACGTTCGACCCGTGATATCTGCTTTGCATACACACTGTCCAGTATCAGTAGACGCGTTAAGACCAGTTTGACATACCGTCTGGTTCCCGTACAAAGTGTTGGGCTCCAAGCAGCCACAAGCTAAATGTTGAAAAGAAAGGTATTAAAAGCGTCAGGAGGTGAAAAAAAAGTTGGTATCATGATGGCAAATATATCAATAGTAAGGATGGTGCTGCAATAAATGATAGCAAGATGGCTAAGATTACATAATAACTTATGAAGTTAGTAATGATAAATGATGAGAATTCATGATGGCGATGGTGGTGACGGCAGTCATTATGTCGAGCTCCTGCTAGTGATTATATGATGATGATTTAACAAATAATGATAATCATCGCGATGATGATGGTACTGATAATAATGGTAATGATTGTGATGATGGTAAATCTGATGGTAAATCTGATGGTAAATCTGATGGTAAGTCTGATGGTAAATCTGATGGTAAATCTGATGGTAAATCTGATGGTAAATCTGATGGTAAATCTGATGGTAAATCTGATGGTAAATCTGATGGTAAATCTGATGATGATGATAAAGGGGATGAAAGATGACTAATCAGAGTGAAAGTGATGACGAAGTTCAAGAAAACAGGTGCAATATTGCGCCGTGTGCACGCTTCTTGAAACTTTCTTCTACATGTCCCAGTGAACAATCCAATCAGAGCCCAATATTGCAAGCAAGCAGGTAACATAAACGAGGCAGATGAGAGTGCTTTCACGAAAATATTGCGCCGTAAAACGTTTTTCGCAACGCATGGTGGCACACAAGTTTCAGCCAAAAGTTCCGATGCATGTAACAGGGCCTTAAGAGGCAACTTACGTGAACATCCCCTAGGATTTCCTTGCAGATAAAGTCCATAGTACCCTGGGAAACACCGAGTACAGTCAGTGTCTGTGCTGTTGTCAACATTAGGTTCACAGAGTTCACACTTATTTCCCTCAGTACCAATCCTACAGTTTTTACACGTGCCATTTTCTGGATCACATTCTATGGATCTGTTAGTGCAGCTACATAGTTCACAGCCATATGAAAATCTGGATGTGTTGTGTGCTGGCGCAGAACTAATACGTGTGTAACCTGAGGAAGTACGAAACTAGATCAGTAATGTTGGGAAGAGGGAAAGAAAAGAAGGGAATGAACGATAACGAAATAAAAATATGTGGGAACAAAGATAGTGGAATGAGAAAAGAATAAAAAAGAAGAGAATAATGGGTTGGTGGATGAATTTATATTGGTTGGTTGGTTCGATCAGTTTTTGGGTGGATAGATAGCTAGGTGGGTGGGTGGGTGGGTGGGTGGGTGGATAGATAGATGGATTGTTTGATGGATAGATAGGTGGGTTGGTGGGTGGATAGATAGGTGGGTGGGTGGGCGGAAAGATAGGTGTGTTGGTGGATAGATAGATAGGTGAGTTGGTGGGTGGATGTATGGATATTGGTTGGATCGATTGTTGGATGGACGTAAGCATGGATTGGTTAATGGTGGAGTTTTGAAATAGAGGAACTAGTTTAGATCAATGGATAAAACAATGACATAAAATAAAGAATAAATAAAACAGACCTTCTCCACAAAGTTCACACGAAAGTCCTGTGAATTTTTCATCTTGGCAAGTACAGTTTTCAACATTTCCAGCAGGCTCTCCTATTGTTCCTTGAACTGCCATATGCAGCTTTGCTTCTGACAGGGTTAAACTCCCATTTGTATAAAATTCCCCAACGATCTTCATTGTGAAAATGTCCGACAACGCTTTTTGTAATTGCCTTGCACTGACCATGGTCGATGCATAAGCTTCATGAAGACGTACATAATAATAAGTAATATTAATAGAAGAAGGAGGTTGTAGAGGAAAACTTATTGTTATTCCTATTCTTGATTCAACATTGAGAGACCAGTTTGCTTTGACACTGCTCGCACCAGTGTAAGTCAGATTGAAAGTGATTAGTTCACCATAAGATCTGAGATGATATCTCTTGAAATCTTCTGGAAGGGTAAGTGACTGTCGTGCAGGGGGGCTAAATCTCAAGGAGAGTTTTTGTGCATCTTGTTCGAATTTTGAGATGCCTTGTCTTTCTCCAAGAGCCCATCCATCGTCTGAACCTGGAGAAGATGTAATGAAGCTTTTAACAAAGCCTTTCGCAGAGCTGCAGTTTCCAGATCTATCAAAACAGAAGCAAGGAGTACAGCCATGTGGGTTGTTCACATCTCTATTGTATGTGCTAGGTTTGCACTCATCACATTTGAAGCCCAATACATTCTTCTTGCAGGTGCATTCACCAGTTTCTAGATGACACTGTAGAGTACTAGACCCTGCTTGATCACAGTTGCAAGATCTAAGAATAACATAAAATATGCATTAGTCAAAATTATTATAATTATCAAATGCTGGTCTGTGCTTAGAGGATGGACCACCTTCATTAAACCCTGAAACAACCTCTGAACTGTTCAAAACTGTTCTTCTCCACAGAGTTCACAAGAAAGTCCTGTGAATCTTTCATCTTCACATTTCCATCATTAGTCATATGACAATTATAAGCTGATCTCGTGGTTAGAGGATTGACCATCTTCATTGAACCCTGAAATAACCCCAGAGCTGTTCAAAGTCAGGCCACAGATAATTCAAATCAATGGAGAGCCCCAACAAACTCTACTTACATGTGATGAGGGGTCCAGGAATCTAAACTAGATACTCTAGAGGTAAGAGAGGAGTTTTTTACCACTACACCACCCTTGATTATCTGACAAGTTTTTCTCCCTCCACAAAAGAAATTCTGATTTAAACTTAGATTAAAACTATTACAACTATCACTCCCAGTACAGGGCTCTTCTGTGAGGTTCACTCCACAAGCACTACCACTACATTCTATATTTTTATACAACATACATCACTCAACTCACATGTTGATTTTTATGGAGGAAGGAAACCGGAGAACCCAGAGAAAACTTTTGTGGCAAGGGAGAGAACAACATGTCAATCAAACTATGATCCAGTCTGAGCCGGGGCTCGAACCTAGACCACTGCGCCACCCATGCCATCCACCAAAATTAATAAATAATTTATTAATGAAAAAAAATATTTCTTAATGGGTATGGCAGATGAGAAGCTAATCTGTAGAATCACTGTCACATTCCTCCCCACATGGAGGGTGTGTGAAGGATAAGTACTTACTGGCATCCTGTTGACGTGTAGTTATAAAAGCCATGATTACACTCATCGCATTTGTCACCTCTAGTACTGTTCTTACAAGGACACTTTCCTGTATCACCATCACACTGCATGTCGGCAGAGCCACTTGCATTGCACTTGCATTCCACGCATCCCTTACCAGTATTAAAGCCATAGTATGTGTGGTTGCACCTGCTACAGGCTCTGGTGATGACGCCAGGTCTACAGGGGCACTGACCAGTGACTGCATCACAAACTAAATGATGTGACCCAAGAGAACTGCAGTCGCAAGCTTGAATAGAAAAACAAACATGCTTAGTTTAAAGGTTCTGGGTACCTATTTCAAAACGTAATACAGTATTCCTGTAGATCCCAATTACAAGCTCTTATTATACACATATTTTAAGGGTTTTGGGGTGTACTTATAATCAAGGTGGGGAGGGGGCTCTCGAAGGCTGAAAGGGAGGAAAATATTTTTTATAAACAAAAACAAAATGTTTAATCCTGTCTAATTCAATCGAATAACAGCGTTCATGCAAAAACAGCTGTAAGAGTTTTGAAATGTAAAGGGCGCACAGAAAAAACTATAATCTAAGAAATGTCAATATACCATGAGGCTCGGCAGTGAATGAATATAATCAAGGTTTTTCTTTTTCACTGAATAGCTCAACACTAGTCTACTAAATGAGTCTCTCTTACCTGTGCAGCCTTCAGATGTAAAGTTGTAGTATCCTGGCATACACTGGTCACATGATTGTCCCGTCACGCCAGGCTTACATTGACACTGGCCTCCTTGCTTGTCACAGAAGGTGTTTGGTATTGACCCGACACTGTTACACTGACAGGCTGTGAAGAAAACAATGGCAGTATGAATATTTGCCTCACTTAATAACAGGGGCTGCAGAAGGGGTGGGGCAGGGGGGTTACATCCCCCACCTTTTTCCCTTTTCCCATACTAGTCTCAATCTTAGCCCCCCACTTTTTGGGGTGCTCCACAGCGCTGAATAACCAGTGGCCAACAAACTTGTAGCATATCAGCGAATAGACTGTCCCTGAATTAGTCAAATACTAGCGTTCCTTGATTACAGACTCGTTTATACAGCATTAGCCTCATTTTGGTGTGTGAATATTTGTGAATATAAAAACAGTAAAGTAAAGCATGTACAGCTTCAATGACACAAACGCTTTGAAATTTCACAGACTTTTACAGGAACGCAAGAATATTAAATACAAAATGAAGGCTAATCCTATAGAACAGAGAATTCAAAACTATTTAAATTAATGGAATTTCAAAGTTGATTTTACAAGATAGGAAATATAATTCTCATACTCATGAATATTTAATGAGGAGAAAACAAAGCAAATCACTACTGTGACGGTGGTTTGGAAATGGGTTCTTAATTTGCATTAAATTTCGTAAACTTTTTCTTTGATTTTCTCCAAGAAATATTCATGAGTTTGAGAAGTAATATCAAACACTTGAGAGAGTTCTTCCTCCGATTTCCAAACACCTCAAAGTCAGTTAAAAAAACTCGGCTGCGCCTCGATTTTTCAACTCACTTTTCGGTGTTTGGAAATCGGAGGAAGAACTCTCTTGCGTGTTTGAAATATTACATTGCAATTATTCATTGAGTAAAAATGTGTCCACTTACGCAGTGCTCCATCCAGAACTTCTGTCATTACAGAGAATGTGACATTTTCACAAACTGGTAGACTTTGATTTGTAGCAACTATGGATGTTGCATTTACCCAGCAACCATGAATGGTGCTTGCGTCAATTCCATGAGCGTGACCCTCTTTTGAAGCTATATCGTATATCTTGGTTTCATTTATCAGAGGAAGCAGTATCAAGGAGTCCAGCTGAATTGATGAATCCATCACAGTAGTAAATGAAACATTGAAGCTATATTCTTGACCTTTGCAGATATCGATAACACTATTTGACCTCCACGCTGTGCCGTTACCCTTTTGAAGACCTCTGATTGATTCAGTACTACTTGTAAAAGCTGCGCAACCAACAGTATCTTTACCCACTATCTTCATCTGCAGGTCACCAATACTGTCCGCCGCAGATGTATACCTTAAAACAGCATATCCCTTAAATGTTGTATTACTCTTGAAATTCAAATTAACAAACTGTTTGCTGGAGATCTTGGCATAACCTGTCCCAGTGAAGTACTTGTTTAGGTCTTCAGTGTTTGCAGTGTACTGGTAGGTACCCTCTGATTGCTCGGCTTCTATTTTAAAGTGGGTTAAACTGCCAGTATAGTACCCTTGAGGTACTAATGTACAGCGAGTACCCTGGATATTTCTCCTGCATTCACAAGTTCCTAGAAAATGTAGAAAGCAATAAATTCAGAACCCTGGTTTAAAAGCATAAATTCAATTCTACTTTTAAATTTACCAATCTTTTTTATTCTACAATTAGTACATAATGTTAAAGGACGTTTTTTTAGGAACATTACGTCAGAGGAATTTTAGGGTATAAAATTCCACTTTTCAAGATATTGTAGAAACAAATTAATGTTAAGTAATATTTTTCCATACATTGTATTTTTTTCCTCCCTTGACTGCCAAAAAATCCTTTTTTTCCACATATGCTATTTTCAAGTCGAAACCACTTTTGCTGAAATCCAGAGGTAATAAAGGACAGCACTAGTTAATTTAAACAAAGACCTTTTTCTGAGTTGGTAAACAAGGTGCATTGTGATCTAGCATTTGTTCATCTTATATGGTGTTGTTCATACCCAAGCTAGACCATAATGCACCATGTTTGCTCAAATCCAGACAATGTCTATGAGCATTGATCACATTACCATATATTTTGTTACATAATCCTGATGTCGAACCACCATAGTCACAATCACACCTCAGGCAATCTTCAGAAATATTTTTGGGGAACTTATAATAACCATCTTTACATCTTGAGCACATTCGCTGGTCAATGTTAGGTTTACAATGACACTGGCCTGTGACTTGTTCACAGTTGAGGGATCCATTTACTGTCCCTGTCTCCACACATTTACATGCTGTAAATAAACAACATAATAACGTAAGAATTGGTATAAATTATTAATAATCAATCTTTTTATAAATGTGTCGTAGTAGATAATTCTATCAATTCTAATCCTTGACTCCGACGAAGGACTAACGTTCGAAACGTCAGTCTACTACCTTTCCTGCTTACTGTGATAAAATTATCTACTACAACACACTTGTTTCAACTAAAAAACACTGACGCAGTCCAAACTAGTTCCAAAACTAGTCGTTAACTACAACCTTTTTATAAAAATAACTTTATTCTAGAATGTGTAATGATTGGTCAAAAGGTATCCAATAGTTTCACCGACGCTCTAAGCTTCAGCTACTGAGGATCACCTACATATCAAATACACTATAAAGCCTTATCTATGAAGGATGAGACATTAAATATACTGTCAAAAAGGGGGAAAAAATTTTGTGTCAAGATAGAAAGTTTTATATGAATGTTAAGGCAAATAAAGCAAGAGAAACATCGTGATGGCTTAAGATGTGAACAAATAACTGTGTGACAACAAAATCGTGTTAGGGCTTGTCAATGAAAACCCACAAAATACCTGATTTGTGTATTACAAATATTTGAAACATTACCAATGTTTTGAAATTTCACAGCCTTTTAATGGTATCTGTGAAAAGCCGACTTATAAAGGCGACTAAGCCTCTGCAAATAAGTCTTTGGTCTTCAAAAACACTGGTATGCATCTATTAATGCTAACTGGTGTATAGGTTAAATGTTACCTGTACAATGTCCTTGCGGATCATTTGTATATCCATAGTAAGTGTCAACGCATCTGTCACACTGTCGTCCAGTTACATTATGCCGACACTCACACTGCCCATTGGTTTGGTTACAAGTTCCATTGTTTATGATGCCTTCCATGTAACAGTCACATGCTAAAAGAGAAAATAACAATCAAGGGAAATGTTTAACACATATCAGAAGCTTTGAATTTTCCTAAAACAACAATGTAAAATTGTCTTCCTTTTTTGTGTACTTTATCAAACTGCATTTCAAAGAAAAAGAACTTTAAAGGATTAGGGAGAGTTTGTAAGCAAAGGTTGCGTTAGCATAGCAACTACCTGGGGGGTACTCCGCCAGGATTTGGGTAGGGGTGTTCCGCTGGGATTCTGAAAGGGGTACCCTGTTTATGACAAAAAAACTCAATCTTGTGGACCCTGTTTATGACAAAAGATATAATCAATTGCACTGAGTTCCTGTTTCAATTATCATATCATCTCGCTATCGTTTTTTTACGACCATAATGACCAGTTTATGAAAGTAGAATCCCTGAATATGACAGGAAACTCAGGAAGAACTTGGAACTTGAGTGAAATTACATACCCTGTTTATGACAAGAAGCTCAAAAACCATACCCTGTTCAGCAGATCATTCCCGTATAGTCCATATATGGGAGTACCCCCGGGAGCAACTACAACTTCTACTAGAATTTCATTATTATTAATTTTATTAGAAATAATTGGGCTTTAAAATCAAAGGTATTTTACTTATGATACAAAAGTTAATTCATTAAGAAGTTGCTTGTTTAGCGGTCATTAGTCATTAACAATGAACACCATTTTTACTTCTTTTTCAAAAAAAAAATGTTTGTCTTACCTGGACACACCAGAGGATGGTTTAAAGGTAGACTAGTGTTGCGGTAGAACTTGTCCTGACACTCATGACAGAAATACCCAGCCGTGTTGTGCTTACAGTCTTCACACACACCAAAACCAAGATCTTTGTTGAATGCACATGCATCTGCATGATCATTACATTCACATCCTGGTAAAATATCACAAAACTACATCAAGTAACAAGACTGGTTGGTTGTTTTATATTTTTAGAGAACGGGGATACCCTTTTTTTAGCTGGGATACCTGTGGCAATAGAACTAAGGATTTAAAAGAGATATAGGCAACTGGAAACTTACATTAAAAACTTAGTCACCAAAGACAAAATTTTGGTAGTCCATTGGTACAGTAAATCCTGTTGTTGATATTCAATAAATTTTCTATAAAATTTGCTATCTATTTCAATCCAAGCACCCTTCACTTTTTTAGGGTACTAAAGGTTATTTTATTATTTCAAAAGGAAAGGAAAGACTAGAATTTCCTTTCACACGATTATTTCATTCAAAAATTTAAAAAATTTTTTGCATTTTTTGATTTTCATATTTTGATATTTTACGCCATATAATGGAATAGAATTTCAATATATCATTACTATCATTTATAGGGGTACAATTAAGTCACTTATATCATTGACCCCGGTATCTGTTTAGCATTTTGAAGATTTGTGGCCAATTACTTTGACAGGTCTTCTTTACATCATCGAGCGAAAAAAAAACAAATTAAAGCAAAATATATTGAGTCCAGGGTTAAAGTTTCGTTTTCTTGTGTTTAAATAAAGCACAACAAAAGCTCTATTAGTGAGAGTATGTAATATAATGAATTAAAAGTTTTGAGATGTGAAATAAAGGAATAAATTTGAGGGTGGAAAAGACAAATGTGGGATAACGTGGGATATTATCTATATCAGCTGTCAACGTTTGAAAATAAACGTCAAAAAAAGTAAAGTACGCCAGATGTTTGGAACATTTGAACAAACATGAAAAATCTTCTAAAATATGAGCGATATTAAAATCTACGAATGACCGAGAGTTTTTTACCTTAGAAAATTAATATAGATTAAAGCTATGAAGATATGAAAAGAATTTGAAGATTTGTTATCGGGATAAGATTATAAAATGTCGCAAAGTTTTGTGAAGTGAATTTGTTATTACAGTGAGATACTCGAACCGTGAAAACTTATTTATTTTCAGGTTATTTTTATATCCTTAACTTTTTACTGTTTCTAACTTATTAAAATAGGTATTGAGTTCACAACGAGTGATCAACATAAATCTGATCTCGATTGGTATGATTTACAGCATGTATTTTACGAAAGTTACGAAATCTTGAAGTGTTCATGGTGCGAGTGTCGTCGCTGTAAATTATTATATTTTTATTTTACTTACTTTCACAAGGATTTGGTTCGTATTTGGAGGTAGCGGGCTGCCAAGTACGGTTGTTATAAAGAGGTAGACATCGTTCACAATCAAACCCATCAGTATTATGCAAGCACTCGCATTTCGTAGTATTAGAAATAGAATTGTTACCATAATCACAGTATCGTGCATGGCCATAGCACTTGCATCGGCCTATAATACTGAGATCAGATATAGCATAGTAGAACTGATTTAAAATATCCTCTGTTTTTCCACCATTTTCCAACCCGTTAGTACCGGGATACTCTAGACGAATTCTCAAGTCAGTAGTGTGAAGGTATTCTTGAATAAATGGATGAAAAAAGTCTGCCTCTTCGTCATAACGGGTTTTGAAGTCGAAGAACACTTTCCCACCTCTCTGGGGCGAGATCAAGCTATATTTTTCAGTGCAAAATGGTTTAGAATCGTTTAATCTCATTTCTAGTGGATCAGTAGTTTCCATATTGAAACGTTGCTCACAATTTGAAGCATAGTACTGTAAAGTTATCCACGATCGGCCCCAATCACTGGACTTCTCCAAAATCATTTGAAGTGGACGAGGTGACTCGAAGGTTAACGCCAGTAGACCAGTCATATCGAAACTCTTACTAAAGCTCAAAGTGATGTTGACTTGTAAGCTTTCTGTTGGGTGAGTTTGGTGCCATTTCCACCAAGTTTCTGATTGCCACCACTTTGTCGGGCTCGTACTCTTATCAACGATGTATTTCGCGGGATGACTGTCGTCACTATTCGAACTGTTGCATTTGAAGCAACCATTCATCGGCTTTAGTCTGCAGTAAGTCTCTGGCGGAGTTCCACAAGTACTTGTAGCAGTGATCCTAGCATTGTGGAGCTTAGCGATGTCCCAGTGGCCGGGAATACAAACTATATGTTCACTTTTTGCTTCTGGACCGTCGAAACATTCAGCTATGACATTCTTGATCCCAAGGAGAGCAACTACCACGACTACAAGGCTAAACATACTGACTTCTGCAAGTCAACAAACGATCTTCGTCCTCTCGCCGCGAAGTATAGGCCTTTGATTTCTACAGCTGATCCTTCCAGAGAGTAGAGGAATCCTTCTTTGTAGTTTATCAGCTGAATCGAAATTATTAATTCAAACGGAGTTCACACAAAAGTACGGTTTATTAGAGAACAAGGCACGCGAGTACTTCACTCTTCATTGGCTTGCGTTGTTATGCTGGTTGTCATGGAGACACATCCCTTTAATCAATTTAAATTCACCGTATAACGTAACGGACAGAATATACTTTAAACATTTTGTCATTTACTTAGTAATGCAACTTCAAAAACAAAAGACTTCTGCTACATAACACCGCTAATCTCAAAAACCAGATAAAATAATAATCTGATCTCAAAAGATAAATTAAAATCATTAAAGAAACGAAATATTTTCTTGGACGCCGTCTGTCAGAGGTAAAGATTTCTATAAGTTCAAGACAAACAAAGATTTCTTGAGGGATGGCGTTTTTTTAATAGCACAAGACAATTAGTTTTTCTTGATATCAACAATGTTAACCTCTGTGTATTCATAGTCTAAGAGGAGTGCCGCACTCAAGAATACTTCAATAAGAATCGAGTCGTTATTCATGCATAATGAAAAGTTTTGCTGGTCCAACATTCCATTGCGAGAAAATATCAGTTTAGATTTTAGCACCGAAGGGGGCCGGGCAGGTGTAGGGTGAACACCGTATACCGACGAATAAATATCATATATTTGCCTTCTTTTGCAATGGAGTTTATCAGGCTATTAGATGAAAAGAAAAGAAAAAAAAAAAAAAAAAAAAAAAAAAAAAAAAAAACTTAAGGCAGCAGTGTTGCAGCAGTGTTTCTAAGGTTCTCAATCAGTCTTTCTCTTCTCTTCTCTTCTCTTCTCTTCTCTTCTCTCCTCTTGTCTCGTCTTCTTTTCCTTTCCTTTCCTTCCTTCCTTTCTTAACTTATTTCATATATCTTTTCAATTGCATGATTGTATACAGCTATTTTATTGTGAGACCTTGACCAGTATAAAATAACATGTTTGGTTAAGCGGTGAGAGAAAGGAGTTAAATCAGTTTAATAAAAGAGACGTTTATATTATTTAAAATTCAGTACTTTATTTAAATCAAAGACTTTATTTTATTGTATTAATGGAGTTGACTTCAATAAGTTTATACAACGAAACAAAACTAGCTTGCACATAATAAGCTTACATAACATAGCATTACATAACATAAGCCTTTTAGTACATATCAATTAGATTAATTTACACCTATTTTCATTATTTAAAGGGGCACTTGGATGAAAACGTCCCGATTTTTGAAAGTCCGAATAATTGATGTATTTGAGAATAATATGACTCAATTATAATTATGAAAATCAGATTAGTGAAAAGTTTAGCCAGGGAGCCACTCGCTGTTGAGATATTTTGTGTTAAAAGCGAAAAGAACAATAGGGTTGAGTAAATGACGTCATTTACTCACAATTTAGATGCTGAATAAAAAATTTTTTCCGCCACCTTTGACTGCGAAGAAAACATGTTGCTTGGCTACTATCTGGGCCATATAGAAAAGTTTAAACAAGTTTCAAGTCATTTCCAATTTTCATTGATTTTCATCCAATTGCCCCTTTAATAAGCCTTTTCATAGTTTAAGAATCGATTCCACTGCGCATGCGATTTTATCCCGAATTTCTCACCTTCTTTTGTTTGATTAAGTACAAAAGAAGGTGAGAAATTCGGGATAAAATCGCATGCGCAGTGGAATCAATTCTTAAACTATGAAAAGGCTTATAGGCGACCAACACTGAAAGAATTCATTCTCGTACCCAGACCCTTGTGATTCCCAGAACCTTCGATTTTTTAATGAGAAAGGTCTGGGTTTGAAAATGGACAGAATTAAGAAAAATAAACGAATTAAAAAAAATTTATTCATTTTAATTTTTTTTTTACGAATTAAAAATAGGCTCAGCATAAAGACTTTTGGACAAAAACCAGTTCGACCAATTTATTTAGATAGTTTAAATGTTAACCGTAATTTTATTTTCTGCTGCTCAATATTTTCAGACTTGACCATAAAACTTGGTATTTTTAGTCTCGTACTGCAAAGCCTTCTCTATTTCAATAACAGAGTTGAGCTTGGGTACGAGTTATACAAGCTTAATTTAAGGGACACCTTTGTTAATTACGGAAGCGAATCAGTAGTTGGAGCACATGTACTAGCCAGAAGCTCGTGAAGTTTACTGTCTTTCCCAGTCTCTAGAAATTCTTTTCCCACATTTCACACGTCTTTGAAATGCTGTCGTGCTGGGCACGAGTGAAAAACGTCTGCGCATGCTCTGAATCCGTATGCGAATTAGTCAAAACATACGCGGTAAGTTTTGCTTTCAAACATGGTTGATAAATTGGACTTCACGAAATGCCAAAACTTAGTGTCCATGCTTGAAACTTAATTCTTTCATATTGTGTTTGTTAATACAGTATCTTGGTTTGACAAAAGTATACTCTTGAACTTTTTTGTATACTTGAAAAAAACAAACATTCATTTTCTCACTCAAACTCTTCAAAATTCTTAGAAAACGTGCTGAAGTGCACGCATGCGCAAATGTTTTCCCCTGGTGTCATCGTGCTGTAATCGACAGCTAATTCCGGCTTCGGACCATCATCGTGCGGTCTTCGGCACTCCTTCGTCTGTCGTTATTGCTGTTTTTGCTATTGTTTTGTTGTTGTTAGCGGTGGTCATTTTCTCTCTTCTGTGCTGTGCTTAATGCTTTTATCGTTGTTTGTTTGATGCTGCTGTTCAGTGGTTTCTGTTATTGTTTTGTAGATACCTTTATCATCAGAGTTTGCCGCTAAGCGCTAACTCTAAGGACCAGGCCCAGAAAAACGCCCGCAAACACGGAGAAACACTCAACATCACTAGAATGGCCGTTCTTCCAGCAACAACTCTTCGTTATGATCAATTTAGCTACATGAACTTCAACCCTGAAACGCTTCTTATAATTTATAGCATTCTCTTTGTTATATTTTAAAGTTTAAATTTATATCTACATATGTAAATATTTTATTAGACTGTCCTACACATACAGTAACCGGCATTCCACTAAAGAGAATGATACTCTAGCAACTCGAAATAATGAGAACTGAACTTTTTTCCCGTCCAAAAAATAAAAAATATATAATATAAAAAGAAGAAGAAAGAAACTCGAGACGCAGAACGACGCGCCTTCCCGCCTTTTTTTGGAATTTGCACAACGCGAATTAATAACCAGATAAAAATCATACGAATTTCACGCAATAATGGAATTTTTTTTTCATGTAATTTTTCTCTTGGAACGTCCTTTCTATAGCCTAGCGATATGCTCCAAGTTTAAGAAAGTTTTTTTCGTGCGTATTTGACTTGTCTAACCTAAATTTAGCCTATTTTTTCGCGGACTTTATAGTTAGACTCCAAAGCAGTAAATATCTTAAAACAAATTAACAAAATGTATCTGCCTTATGCTTCTAAAATTGTGTTTTTTATTGTACTGAATCATTAGCTCTATTTCTGGCATTCTCTGTTGACTTCTTTAAACGAGTCAATCAACTGCCTTACTCGTTTGATCTCTAACATCAAAGTATTTTTCCTAAGCTGATTCTGCTGGAACTTGCTTTTGTGGATTTGTATGCTATCCCTAAGCTGTGTAATATTAGCAGTAAGATTAAGAGCGGCAAAACTTTCTCGTACCTTGGCTATTGCTTGGTTCAGCTCGGGTATACTGTTGTTCGGGTCATCCAAGGCCAGAACTTTACTTTCGTTGAGTGCTCTTTGCGTCTGTTCCACAACGCGTTGAGCTTTGGAGTTCGTTTCGTTGGCAAGGTGTAGCAATGCGTTGGCTTGTGTAGAGAGGTTGGTAGCTTTGTTGGTTAAGTTGCGGCATGTGTTTTCTTTAGGTTCGATATGACGTTTTATGTATTCGCGTAAGGATTGGTTGGAAAGAAGAATGTCTGCTTGGTGTGAATCGTTCTCGAGTTTCTTCACGCGGACAAATTCTTCTGAAATAACCTAAAGAGGATTGAATAAGAAGTGAACATTAAATAGTGGGTTGGAAACTTTGTAAAATAACTTTTTTTAAATCTCGCTTTCTGATTGGCTGGGAGCGCGTGCTGTATGAGAGCACACAGCACGCGCGCGCATTTTCAGTAGCGTTATTCCTATCAAAAATAACGGTTATCGTAGTTTGCATTTTATTTAAAAAATAAAAAACTTGCTTGCTGTGCTGTATGGAGTTATAAAGCACAGGATTGGTAGAACACTCGAGAAGTGTCGAGAAGCACTCCGCTACGCGTCGTGCTTCTCTTAACACTTCTTTTGTGTTCTGCCAATCCACGCGTGCTTTGTAACTGCACACAGCACGCGCACGCGTTTTCTATTTCTTCAAGATTTAAAGGTTGCACATGAGAAGACACATGAATATGAAAACTCAAACAAAGAATCTTATTCTCAACGGGTCTGAAATGGCAAAATAGTACGCTTTTAAGTCAAAAACGCCTATTGAACCCGAGACCCCAGAGGCGGGAGGCGAGTGTAACCCTACATCGCCCTTGCTTCCAAAATCAATTACCTTAGACTCATTATCAGCGAGATGGTAAGACAGTCCTCCCAGTTGTATCGCACGCATTGAAGCATTGACCGAATCCTGAACATCGACGCTGATTGACGAGGCATTACCAATCACTTCAGAGAGCTGTTGTTCCAAGGTGTCCGTCTTGCTTAGTGACGCATTCGCTCTAAGAATCGCTTCGTGTGAGACGCTTTCAAAATTCTTAATCACATCTAACATATATGTCGCGTCATGGTGCACTTGATTGGCTTGATTGATCGCACTATTCGCAATCTGATTGGACGACTCTGCACTGGCAGCTTGGGCTGTGGAATTCTCTACAACCTGGGAGACTTTCGATACCAGATCTTGCGCACGAACGACGGCCGAGTTCACCTGGGCCACAACAGGACGACTGGATTCAAAGATGGTACGAGTATTGTTCAGGTATCTTGCTGTGGTTGCGTCGAGGTTGCTGAGGTACATATTCAAGTCATTTAAAGTCTAGAAAATAAAATAAATGACGGTCAACCACTTATGTATTCATATTCTATTTAGGAAGGAACTCACTGGCCCACATTTTGTAGATTTTACGTCGACGCGGGGAGGAGACCTTTAGCATCAGGTTCACGCTAACCGCTAGGGATGAGGCAAAGAAACACGCCCGGCAACACGGAGAAACGCTTAGCATCAATGAAATTCAATATGGCGGCTCTTCAAGCAACAACTTCGTTATGTCGCCTTGCTCGTAGTTGACGAAACGCCTGACGTCGTATAGCCGTTTGAGGTTTGCGGTACATAGCAAGAAAGTCGGGCCAAAGGTTTCAAATATCAATTTAATTGAAAATAAAACTTTAAACTTTACCTCTTTGACGATTTCAATCATGCGTTTTTCCTGTTCCCCAGTAGCGTTAGCATTCTTAATAGACTCATTCAACGCCTTTGTAGCAAGAACGTCTCGCTAAAGGTCTCTAATAGAACTAATCTTACTCACCCTTGTGTTATCAGGATTCGGTGTTGCAGCCATTGAAGCAAGAGATCTCGTCTGGTTCAACAAGGAACTAGCTTTCTCTAGTCTCTCCAGGCTCTCCGCAACGGCTTTCTCACCTAGACGCTTTGTTTCTGTGGCGTTCCTTAGTAAAGGTTCAAGGTAGGGACTTAACTCGTCTTCACTTTCCTGTACAGTGCGGGCGTTTATTGCAGTAAGGTTAGCTCGTGCAACAGCGTATTGCGATCCTGAATGTATGGTCGTGTTAGCGTGTAGGGTTGAATTCTCCAGATGAAGAGCTTGTCTGGTAAGGTTGTCTGGTTAAAACCGAAATAATATGCATTAATAATCGTTGATTTTATCCTTCCGACGTGTACCACTTCTTTGTTCTTATTGCTCAGACTTCTAGGTGTGACAGATTATTGAGATTTCGACTGATTGGATGAAAAGAAGGATGGAAGAACGGAAAGTTGGGAATAAAGGAATGCACAAGTCTTCGAATTTTATCGAACCATGAACCAACTTTTGGGCTTTTCAAACTATAAGTCAGGGCATGGTTAAATCACACAACAAACCCTGAAACATCCTCAGGGTTGATCTAAATCAGGGCATGGCTAACTAACAGAGTGAACCCTGAAGCAACCTCTGGGCTGATCTAAATCAGGGCATGGCTAACTCACAGATCGAACCGTGAAACATCCTCTGGGCTGATCTAAGTCAGGGCATGGCTAACTCACACATCGAACCCTGAAACATCCTCTGAGCTGATCATATTAGGTTTTGCGGAGCGAGAGGAAAACCAAAGAACCCTGAGAAACCCCCTGGAATCAAGGGAGAGACCTAACAAACCCTGGTCACATATGATGTCAGGAGTCGAACCCGAATTTGGAATCGTTATTACAAGATGTTTAGTCTCAGCCGGTCACTACATACCCAAGTTGACGGCCATTTCTTTCAGCAAGTCCAGCTGTGCGCCAACCAGTCTTGTCCTCTGATCGACAGTCGTATTCAACACCCTGTAAGCCTTCTTAACAAGGCCAACTACCTTGGTAATGGTTTCTTTTATGACTTGGTAGTTTGATCGAGCCGACAATGCAACCAAGGACGACGCGTTCACAGTCTCACTTAAATTATTCTTAACTAGTGATTCTAACGAATCAAAAGCCTGGCCTAGTGCTGTCCAGTGTACTCGGAAGGCGCTGTCATTTTGAGCAGCAACAGAAGCGTGTCCTACTAGGCTGATGACCTCTCGGACAGACTCGTTGAAGCGCAGGGCGAAGTTCTTGTTGGAAAGCATCACGGGATGCTGTGCAATTCGTGTTATTAGGTTTTGTGTTTGGGCTACCTGTGGTCTTAGTTTGTGAACATCTGATTGGATGAATTTGTAGCAAGATGGACACTCTGTACCAAAAAACATATAGACCAATAAATTAATTCAGTGGGGGATGGGGAGGGGGAAGAGGAAGATAATTGTTGCTAATACCCTAGTATTACATCCTCCCCTTCCTCCAAAAACACATGTATGTCCAATATCAAAGAATTAGCCTAGTTTCAAGCATCGATACTGAGTTTTGGCAATTTGTGAAGTCCAACCTATCAGGCATGTTTGAAAATCAAATTTACATATGTTTTGACTAATTGGCATACGGATTCAGAGCATGCGCAGACGTTTTTCACTCGTGTTGGTAGTGGTACTCACCGCGGCAGTCAGAAATACTGTTGCCAGAGACACTATAAGCTGTCTCTTTACACCTGTCGCATGCCCGACCTTCCACGTTCATGGACGCGTTACAAGAACATTGACCAGTGACCTCGTCACACAATGAGGTGTTACCATATAAGGTACCAATAGCGCTGCAGTTGCAAGCTGTAGGTAAATAAAAGAATAAGAACTAAGAAGATGTGCGTGGGATTGTCGTTAAAGCTTGTTTCATGCTCCTCCAATACAGTGAACTTGGCTCTTCAAGTCTAATTCTCTAGTGAATACACTTCTTGAAGCACGTTGGAATGCAGCTCGATTTGGAGGGCAAAACGATAGGTTTTCAATTCTCAGGAGATTGGATTTTTTTTCTTTTGTCCTCCAGATTGAGCTGCTTTGACGTCACATGCAAGGGGTCTATTGAAGCTTTTTCATATCGATATATTATATGGTACGACCACAAGAAATCGTTCATACTTCGTACACGCACTCACTCATCCCTTCTTTTTCTTCTTCTGTCCTCCCTTCCTCTTTTCCTTCATGCTTTCCTTATGTCCTTGCTACTTTTCTTCCATTCTTCCTTCCCTCCTTCCTTCCCAACTTTCTTCCCTCCTTCCTTACCACCTTTCTTCTATCATTCCTTCCGTCGTTCATTCCCACCTTTCTTCCGTCATTCCTTCTCTCCCTCTTCCCACCTTTCTTCCGTCATTCCTTC